AGGAAGGAAGGAAGGAAGGAAGGAAGGAAGGAAGGAAGGAAGGAAGGAAGGAAGAGCTCTGTTCCCAAGGTCTGTCCTTAAGTTGAATTTGTATGTAAACTGGAACAGTATTATTGAATATATAATACTGTATAAGTAGTATTGTATAATGAATGAACCATTGTGTACTTAACTCGAATCATTGTGCATTTAACTTGAATTTTACTATAATAGGCTCCATTCTTAACTATGGGTCGTGTGTAAAGAGGGTGTTCTTAACCTAGGGATTACCTGTATTTTCTTTTACTCCCAGAATTCCTCACAACTAGCATGTCCATTGGCAAGAATGTTAGGAGTTGAAGTCTACACATCTGGAAGTTGTGAAGGGGAAACACTGCTTTAAAGAATTTGCCTGTGTGTCAGCCCTACAGGGTAGAACAGACCAGGAAACCAATGCCATGTAGATCAGTGCTACTTTTATTGCAATAGCTATAGTAGCAAAATCTTGCAAGTCTGAATGCACTTCCCCCTCCCTTCCTTTATATTTGTGTGAACTAGGGAGAGGCTTCTCTGAGACATTTACTCATGTTACATTTTTGGCCCAAGCTAAGGCCCCTCTTATCTGACCATTGTCTTGCTTGCAGCTCTTCCTCCTGTCCTTCAAGGCCATTCCCTCTTCCCTCTACATCGTGTCATCCAGCAATTTGAGCCTCTGAACTCACTTCTGGAATGCACCCTCACTAAACTGCGTAAAATGTGCCCATATCCTCATCAGAACAAGGCATTAATGAGAGATTGCTAAATCTGGACTCCAATCCAAGATGGCAGATGCAATAGTACAATTGAAGTTCCACATGTTTTTTTATGTGTGTTGCACATGTGATGCGCATAAAAAACAAGTGGAGTTTCCATCGCATCATCACAGCCATTACATCTTCACTTTTTTACCATACCCTACAGACATCCTTGCACCAATTTAAATTAAAAACTAGGCATGGTTGCTAATTAGACAGTTAACATCTGGTTTAGTCCTCAGTCTCCAGTGTCAGCTAACACCACCTTATTTCTGGAGGACAAATGATACCCCATCCGTGTAATCATATGGTCTTGTTTAATACGAAACGATTGTGTTTCAAAAACAAAATTAGTTCTTTGATAGTCCTGAGGGAGACTTAGGTTTTCCACTCTTATTCTGAACACTGTATTGACACCCATTTTTTTCCTTTTAAAAATGGCTATTGTCAATAGAGAGAATCACTTTCCCTTAAACAAAACCAGATGTTTTTGTTGTGGAAGAAAAACATCTCTCAAGAAAAAGTGACCTCAAATGAACATGGATGACACACCAGCCTTGGTTGGGCTGAGACAAATGAAAGCCGTTCATGCATGAACATAAATGCACAATCCCCCCCCACACACACACACCTGTATAATTGTTTGAATTTCTTTCAGTGCTCAGTTAAATAAAATATTTGTTCCCAGTCTGGCTTATTGCTTGCTTTAGATGATATGTTTATGTATAAACTTAAGGTAAGCAAAATGGAGCACGTAGAAATCTATGCAAATACCATTTGCTTGGTATGTTGCTAACAACCTTAAGCAAACCAGGATAGAAAGTGATGGCTCATTGTGCACTTCGGAAGGAAAAATTCCAAAAAGCCCTACATAACAACAAAGTATGTTTTTTCTGCATTTAAAAATTCGTAATATTGTACCATGTTATTTGGACACCATGTTGATTTTTTTGACCCTTGCACAGATCCCCTCTTCAGTAAGCTCATTCTCGTAAATACTGAATAGCCACATTAAACAAATTTTGGACATTCACCACACCAATATTTTCTATAGTGAATTAGGTGGTTATATCATTACTTTCTAAGAAAAACAGAAAAGAGAATTTTGGTTAGTAGTGTGTCATTTAGCTAGCAATATGTTCATTTATTCACCTACATGTTTCTCAACACATTTTTCTCAAGGCAGCATATAATTAATACCTTAAAACATATATTAAAATACTTAATTAAATAAAATAAATGCTTAATAATTAAAAGCAACAATCTTAACAATTACACCAAACCAATCAGAGTATTTCTACTAAAACAAAAAGTTGTGATATTAGAAAATAAACTCATCTTTTACCACTTATATCTATGCTTACTTACATTTCCTAATGTAGGTGGAATACGTATTGCATAATATGCAGAGATACTGTACTAAATTAAAAGCTCTGGAACCCATTGCAGTCTTTGTGTCATAGATGTGTGTGTGTGTGTTTGCCTTGAGTATCTAAAAAAGAAACAGAAAAGGGTAGGAATGAAAAGGTAGAAGAAGAAATGTATATTTTTGTTAATTTTACGAAGCTGCCTAGAATTTTTTGGAATTGGGCAGCCTAGAAATTTGACAAATAAATGAAGAATAGAATAGAATAGAATAGAATAGAATAGAATAGAATAGAATAGAATAGAATAGAATAGAATAGAATAGAATAGAATAGAATAGAATAGAATAGAATAGAACAGAAACATTTTACTGCATTCAATTCAGCCTAATTTTGAAACTAATCATTAAACTTGGACCACACAAAGTCATATTCATTCCATTGCATAAATAAACAGCTAGTTCATAGAACGTGAGCACTTACCTATAATTCAAGGCCATAAATCTGAGGTCACTCTATCTTTCCAACATGAACCGGTGTCTTTGTTACCCCAAGTTTGATAGATCCATAGTTCTTCATATAGTGGTAATTTTCAAATTTGGGGGATATCATTGAAAAGTACATTCATTGCCTTACACAGTAATGATCTTTATATCATATACAAACTCACAGAGGACCGATTCCTTAACCCTCCTTAACTCAAGCAAGCATATTTCTGAGACCGCTTGGATATCATGTGAGCCCAGGAAAAGATGGAGCTTCTTTAAGGAGCCCCTGATGGGTACCGAGAGTCATGCCAGAGCAGAAGCACCTTTCCTGTTTCCAATCCAAATGGTTCCACAACCTTTTCTCTAAATAAATCACTGAATCTTGAAGAATCTTCCAGATTTGCATCAATTTTCATTTCGGATGGATAGATAGCAAGTGAGTGAGTGAGAGACAGAGACAGAGACAGAGACAGAGACAGAGACAGAGACAGAGACAGAGACAGAGAGAACTGTGCAGCCAAAAGAGAGACAAGTGCGTTGGGAGTACCAATTCTTAAATATTTAAACAAATCCAAACAACAGTTAAAAACCAATCATTACAGATTCTTATAGTAACATATTCTATAGAACCTATAAAAAGTATATGGGACTTAATTAATGAATCATCAGATGAAATACCGAACTCAATAGGTTTGCACAATATATACAAATACTGCACAATCTCAATAGGTTTCAATATATAAAATACATAAATATTATCGGCATTTAATAACAATTTATGCTAGATTCCAGCCACAACTGAACTGCCCTGCATCTGTCAAATAAGGCAGGGAAATGGTTCAGTTCCCAAATAAGAGATAACAAAAACATCCTTGGCAAGTTCCTTGTGGCATCTTAATAAATGAGGAACATATTCTGTTGGTTAAGTGATGTATTAAGTTGTAAAACTAAATAAGGCTACAGAAGGAGTCACTGAACCTCAGGAAGAAAAATGAAATTGTGTTTTGTGTTTATTATAGACTTCAGAAATGAGGGTTGGCTGTTGGAGGTAATATTTAGAAGTTGGGTCACATGATTTGGGGTTGTCCTACTATTGCTATAATTTAGCCATGATCCAGATCATCCCATGATTTTGGAATGATCACTGCATATCAGGGAGGTATATATTATTCTTGGCTGCATTTCCAATATTTGAATTTATCAAGGCATCAAGAACTCTGGATTTTTTACACAGAGGAGATAGCCTAAAGAGTTATTATATAGCATAGGAAAGATAAATCTACACCTGACTTGTAGCACTGGGTTTCAGATATGTGTTGCCTGACAACATTTTTATTAGCTTTTGTCATTTTGTCGGCATGCACATGATTTGCATTGCTGAGACAAAGAGACGCTTTTGAACAAGTTGCTCAGTGTTTTTGCAAATGTTCTGTTTATGATATGAGGTTTCAGGGCTCTTTGTTTTCCTTTTCTGTTTTGAATTTGAAAGTTAAACGCGTTGCTAATAGAGTGAGAAAGTGAGAGAAAGAGAGAGAAAGGGAGGGATACAATTTTGTTTGCTTGGCATATACAAATATTTTAGAAAAGGAATAGAAACGAAAACATAAGAAAAATGCTTATCTTAGACTGACTGTAAATAAATGCAGATTCACCAGGTTGGTTTTTAATGTCTATACAGAACCGAGCCAGCGCTCTATCAGTTGCCCTCTGCTCCAATCCACTTCCAGCATATCTCAGAGTCCAAAACCAGCATCACCGCCAAGCCTTCAGAGAAAGTTGTATTTTCACGGTTCACAGAGTCCACTTCAACAGTCACTCTGCTTCATGGAAGATCCTCATCTAGGACAGTCCGATTTCCTGTATCTTCTCTTGTAACAGTAAACAAATCTTTAGGTAAGTCCACATTTGGGTCCAGGGAGTTTTTAAAAATACACTCTTTTTTTTTTTTTTTTTTTTAGGCTATTGGCATTCCAGGTCTTTCCCAACTGAGCATCTAGCCAACTCCCATTAACCCTAGCCAGAATGGTCCATGAAAACATGGGGGAGCGGGGAGAGGGTTGAGGGAAGGGAGGGTTGGACTAAAGGAAATATTTGAAAATTCAGGGGATTTAATAAATATGGAGAGAGCCAGCTTGGTGTAGTGGTTAAGGCACCAGGCTAGAAAATGGGAAACAGTCACTGTCTCTTGGGCCTAAGAAGTAGGCAATAGCAGACCACTTCTGAAATCTTGCCAAGAAAATGGCAGGAACTAGTCCAGGCAGTCGCCAGGAGTCAACACTGACTTGAAGGCACCAATATATAGGAGTCAACACTGACTTGAAGGCACCAATATATAGGAGTCAACACTGACTTGACTGACTTGAAGGCACCAGGTTGCTATAAAAGCATATGACATCTGGTGAGTCTCAAAGCCACTGTCCTGGACAAAACCCAGAGCGTCCAGGAGCACCTCAGTAAGAAGGCCCCCAACTGAGAGAATGCCTGAGGCAGCAGCAGACAGGGGAGGAAGTTCAAGCAGAGAAAGTACCATGGCAAGACAAGACCCTGCAGGGGATGTACCATTGACAGCTGAGGTGGCTGACATTGGGAAATCCTACCAGTGGCTGGA